TGCATCGGTTCTTTTCCACGGGATGTAGTTGAACCGGGCAGTAATTTTTGTTTTGTCTTTAGATTAGAATAGAATTTAGAGAATAAAAGAAAAGAAAAATGAGAAATGCTAGGCGCCTTTGACTAGTTTGATAGTAGTATATTTAGGATCTAGCATGTGTAGTACATTCCTTATGGTTTGAAAATGTTTATTATGCCTTGCTATGTAATAACATGTTTATTGACGCCTATATCTCATTTTATTGGCTTGTGTCATTTTGTGCTTGATGCTTAATATTTTGTGGCTCTTTGGATACTTGAAATTGTTTGAGAATAGGAATGGAACCATCCTTGGTGAGTCGTGTGCCATGTGTGGTGAGAAATTGTATAGTTTGTGTCATTACATTAGAATCTAGAACTTGCCCGGCATCTGAGTTGAAGCGAAATTTTAGGTTTTGATCGGTTTGAAAAATGATTTTATGCTTTCTTTGATCTTTTTGAACTTAATGCCTACCATAAATAAATTTTATCCTTAGTCAACCCTTTTGAGCCTATAGACTTTTATTTGGCAACCACACTACAAGCCTATACCCATTTATTCTTAATTAATATTATTTTGATCCTTGTACCTCGTAAAGAACTTTAATTGTGAAGTGAGCGCTAGAAGAAGTAAGGACTAAGTGTGGGGTGGCTTTCGAGTGGAACCAATGAACGAAAGAAGGGTACACTTGTTTTGTAAAATAATACACACTAGCAGAAACTAAAAAAAAAGATCTTGTTCTTGCTAGTGGGTGTGAATTAAAGTAGTGCTTAAAGAAAGAGAAAATACTTTGGGGATGATATTGTTTGTGAAAATGCAGTTGGGTTGAAGAAAAACGCTCTTAAAGTTAATTATGTGATGTGTTAAAATATTTAGGAGGGTTAGTCACTATTCCTAAATTTATCTACCCGTCCTTAAGCCAACATTACAACCCTAAAATGTCCTAATTTATTTTAGATCAAGCAAGCCTACATTAGTAGAGGTTTACATAATGGGCAAGCCTATGGTACTTTGTGCATGCATGCGACTTCTTTGTGAGAGTGAGCAATTTCTTTGATATATGAGAATCCTTAAAATATATTTGAGCATTTGATTCGAATGTGTGGATTCAACTTACTCTCTTGTTCTTGTTATGAGGGCACGTGATTTTGCAAGGGATAGGTGACGTTATTAGATTTCTCTAAGATGTTAAGTGTTCAAGCTATGAATGCATTGTGATATTGAGTCGGTTTGTGAGGTTAGGATTGTTATAAACATGTTGTCCTTTTGTTGAATAAAGATTTGAAGTATGGCATAAAGTAAAGGGAAGTTTAAAGGCATACGCTATAGTTTAATTATTGTTATCAACCATAGTCATAGGTATGGTGTGCTTCAGATGTGCTAAAACAGAATAAAAGTGCTCTAGAAATTAGTGGTGACTCGAGGACGAGCAACGTTTAAGTGTGGGATGGTGATGTGAAGCCAAAATGCTATACTTTTAGCATATTACTCACCCTATATTTTGTTGGTTTAGTGAGTTATTGTGCGACAATTGCGCTAAATTATGTTGTTTTATGTGCAAAAACATCATAAAGAATCATCGAATGAAAGTTCCACAAAACGTGAACAAAAAATGCAAGAAAAGAGCCAAAAGAATCAAGTACCCAAACCGTGCTACAGACCAAGCTTTGCGAGGTCTATAGCCAGGTTGATCGTGCTATAGACCAGGCTTCGTGAGGTCTATAGCCAGGTCATCCGCGCTATAGACCAGGCTTCGTGAGGTCTATAGCCAGGTTGACCGCGCTGTAGACCAGGCTTCACGAGGTCTATATCCTGGTCGACCGTGCTGTAGACCAGGCTTCGCAAGGTCTATAGCCAGGTCGACAGCGCTACAGATCAGACTTCGCGGGGTCTATAGCACGATAATTAAAAGTCGCGGGGTTAAAAGACCCAAACCCGAATTTGGACCGAGGGATTGACATAAATACTCCCTAATCGAGTTGTTCTATGGTTGGACATGATTTTGGAGAAGAAAAAGGATGCCAAGCACTGTGGAGCAAGAATCAAACGAGTTTTTCCTTCCTTTATCTTTTTACTTTGTAGTTTCATGTCTTTAAACATTATGTTGATTTTTGTTGTATTTATGAGTAGCTAAACCCTTTAATCTAATGTTTGATGAAACCTATTGGAGGATAATTTTCTACTGCGTTTAATATAGATCTGCCCTTGAATTTTCTCTACTTGTTCAACTATATTTTCATTGTTGTTAATTTAAGAGCTCTCAATTAACTGTGCCTATTTAGTGTGCATATTACTCGAGAGAGAGTACACATTTAAGTAATTGTTAAACAACACCACTCTTAACGTACTTGAGAGATTGATACAGAGGGTTTAAAGGTGGGATTAGAGATAACGAAGCCTTAGTGCGATCGCCGTGAGCGGTAAATTAGTGTCAGCTAGCGTAGTTCGAGAGAATACGTCTAGTTAATTGTAGTAGTTGCTCGAGAGAGACCTAGGAAACTTAAAGTACTCACGATCGGTATAGAATATTTAGGCGAATGTATAAGAAATGTAGCGGGGAAGATTCTAACAATAAGGGAAATCATAACCTTAGACTTTTCCAAATCTTGTCTGCAATATTTGCTTTGTTAGTTAAATTACTGCATTTTTAATTACTTTGATCTTAGTTAGTAAACTCTCAAATTGTTATATAATATTTCTAAAGGTTGATTACTTAAATTTGTGCAAAACTATTAGTTGTAATTAGCATGTTATTTCCCTGTGGGATTCACTCCAGACTTGTAAACCGGATTATATTTGCAACAACCGCTAGACCTCTTAGGAGGCATAGTTGGGCGTGATCAACGACTGAGATAACAAGTGTGCCTTCTCAGCCTCAAGAGCAGCAACACGATCACTAAGGCTAGAAGCCTCTTTTTCTAGCTCCCCTACCCGCTCATCAAGCCGCTCCTCTCTGAGCATGGCCGTCTCCAGTGCACTCTCTCTCTCAGAACTTAGAACGCGGATCGCAATTGTAAAAGCCTCCGCTCTTCTCACGGCCGACAACTAAGCTGACTCTGACTTCTTCTATGCTCTCCACTTTCCCAGCAACCTCACCACTCAGAGCGTCTGTTTTGAGTTGGCAGTCCTCGAGCTCGGCGCGCAACGAAAACACATGAGCCTGAAGATTAACGCATTGGGACTCAACCCCCATGTTGACCTCAAGTTTTTCCTCTTTATCCCTCAATGCCCCCTCGAGGACACTACATTTTCTGATGACCTTCACTAACTCATCGTCCTTCTCCTTCAAGTCGTCTCGGAGAGCCCCGGAAATTACTGCTCCAACCAAGCCACCTGTAAAGCTCACGGTGTTTGTCACGGTATTCACGATACTTCCACTCCGTCTTCTGAAAAATGGCCTTACGCATCTCCTCCAGCCGGGCACTATCGATCTCCAAAATCACGGTCTGAAAGAAAGATAGAAAACGAGGAATAAGAACAAATCTGAGCCCAACAAAAAAAAGGTCAAAAGGCTTACCCTGAGATCACGACCGGCTATACTCCTCGACAAAGTAGCATCCTTCAACTTTGCTAGGGTTTTACCCTCCACATCGGAAGAGAGAGGACCAAGAGAAGGGACCACGTCATCGGCATTCACCAACAAATCCTGGTCCAAGGGGATCACAATTGTCCGCGTAGTCCCCTCCAATCTCACCTCAAGTCGAGTAAGCCCTACCCTCATCATCCTTACCTCATCGACATCCATGTCGGAGCCCATCTCGTAACCTTCTTTGACTAAGCTTTTACCCTTTGTGTCAACCCGGGAAGAAGGATCCTCAGCTGGTAGCGAGACTAATGGCTCATCCTGTTATAAGGCGCCAGGGACTCTCGCTGTCTGCCCTTCAAAATTCATCGCGGTTTCATAGAGAGACGTACTCCCCCCATGATGGTGGAATCGTGGGCGACAAATTGATATCAAGTCCAAAATTTATGGTCGTCGTTTCTCGAAAGACGAAATCATCCAACGCCGAACTCGTCACCCGCACGACATCATCGTCGATATCTACAAATCGCCTCTTACGGGGGAGCAAGTTATCATTATTCGATCACAGCTCCTCCTCATCTCCCTCGTCCACTAGATGGCGTAGATGGGAGGTCTAGATCATTGCCATAGGCGTAGTCAACGACCGAGCAAACCTCACTGCGGAAGAAGTAATAAAAGCTTCCTTTCTTTTACGGAATGCCGGAGCTGGATCCCTCGACCTCCTCGAAGACCCTCGCGCTGAAAAAGAAAAAACCAAAAACGTTTTTAGAATACTATCACCTCTTGTGAAAAATCATGACGAACAGACGACAACGCTGTCAAAATGACAGGGATAAAGGATAGCAAGTGCCCATGTATAAATAAACACATATAGACGAACTCACCAATCACGGAAGGCGCATGCCCGAATTTCTTGATAAAGGTCGGCCACTCACAAATCCCCACTATGTGAGGTAAAACTTGGCTGACCCAGTTATGGATGTCCCAAACCAAAGGAGGGGGCAAAGTCTCGGCTGCATAAAAGAATGACGAAATGTCAGATCACGACTAAAATAGATAAAACAAATGCTAAAAGAAAATACTTATGGGTGTAATTCCAAGCCTCAGGAAACCCACTCGCGTTGGCTACCACGTCCTTGGTCTTGACAAAGAAATAGTAGAGCCATATTTGACGATTCACCTTATCGTCCATCTTTAACACCAAACTTTGACTTCCTTGATGGCGAAGACGCAACATCGTCCCCCTTATAGAAACTAGGGGCGAAAAGATGCATCAGATGGTGAAGAGAGACCCCACGACCAACCAACTCCGTATATTTCGTCAACATGCGGATAAACTTATAGACGTGGGGGGAAAGTTGAGCCATCCAGATGTCGTAGTAACGACAAAACTCCGTCGCCAATGGGAGAAGAGGAAAGGAATAACATACATTGAACAGGTACGCGTAGAACGCGCAATATGCCGGGCGATGTATCTGTACCACATCGCGCCCCGCCGGAATCAGATCGATGTGAGCTGGTATTTTGAACTTTTCCCTGAACTCAACAAGGTTGACCTCGTTCATCATCGAATCTGAGAATTCATAATTGTTTTCATGCAATTTATAAAAATAAGATCTATTTTGACTATGAGGAATTATTTCTCTACTGTAGGAAACTTCTTGTTTTCAAGGGCAACGGGAACATCGTGTCACGATCCAAACCGATGGGCCGCGATGGGCACCCGATACCTACTCAATCGAGTATCGACGTAACATATCTTTCGTATCATACTATCATCGATAACTGAGCCGGAGAGGCTGGCGTGAGATAAGTAGAATAAAACATGTAATACCAATTTAAACATTAGACATACGGGCCTATAAGGCCAAAATAACCACTCGTACACTGAACATAGGCCGACAAGGTTACAAGACCATTTCCTCTTTAGGTCACTATGCTTAGGTTGAAGCCTTCTTCCTTATTTCCTCAATTAGTCTTTCGTTGTAGTACTTAGGGAAGACCTTCTGACTCTTGTAAAGTTGCGAGCTTATTATATCATATACTCGACGGAATTTTTGATGTCCTTCCTCGCCTATAACTATCCGTAGTTACTTACCTCCATGCCCTTGCACTTGTAGGGTTGCTCCTGAACTGATATTTTAACTGTCTTCCCAGTGGAACTCTCTTTTATTTCTGTAACACTCATACAGTACCTTTAACTACCCCAACTCCTATCTGAATATTTCCCACGGGTCACGATGTCATATCTGCGAGACTGAATTTCCCATGTTGGGGTCCAATGTGTTTATCTTGCACAATATGTTGATTTGTTTGTATCCTCTTGTCTAGCCATAACTAGGTTCTTCCCGAATCAACTACTAACTACTCGTTGGCCCATTCTCATATCAATATTCCGCGTAATCTTTCTTGGGTTATTTCCTTTGTCTTAACTTACGTCTCACACTGGCTCCTTCTTTATCAATAATATCCCGGGCTGGAACCCTTACCTCCTCTCCTTGACGCCGTTCTTGCATAATATTTTAGAATCGTAGCATATCTATAAGATTTGAATAAGTGCAATCTCATACCCTTTTCATTTTTATCGCATTCTTTCTTTACCATTTCATAGTTACTAGAGTCACTTAATTCTGACTTAATGTCACATCACTCTATATTCCCCTCTTTAGGGGAGTACTAAGATTTAGTGCTACGGCGATCTACCTATAGATGTTTTACCTCTTCATCTTTGGCGTCTTTTCACATCATCGATGACCCTTACTCGCCTTGCAGTAAACCTTTTATACCAAGGATAACAAAATTCCTTACTCACGAGGGTGATACTTAGTGTAACTAGCACATACAGTCCCTTAAGCTTAACTTTGCTCACATTGCTTGCTTTAGGGAATCATTTTCCTGAATGACCATTCTCTGTATTTCTCATGAATCTTCTTCTGTTGTCCCTTCTATTATCGCCGGAACGCAAATCTGAAATTCTAATGATGCCGACCATTACAAATCACTCAGTCCCTAATTCATGTTTAGTTTACCTTGTTCACCAGCCCATACTGATTTCTATTACTCTGGAGTCTAACTTTTCCTTCTGGTAATCACGTTAGAGTCACGAACATATTTTTCGAGATAAGGATACGACTTTATGGCCAATACTCTTTTGTTGTCTCAAGGCCTGTCACCTATTGTCCCTTCCATTACTTGACTATATACTCCGTAATACTGTCATTTCATTTTTTTTATCTACAGTTGTCATCCATGTATCACATCTTATTCATAATGCTTCATTATCTCTCTTCTTATTTTCCTGCTAACATTTCTGTCTATCACTTTATTCTGAAAATTTTAACAAGATATTTCTTTGCTTTTAGCTCCTGTTTCTCTATCCACTGGATCTTTGGGTTTTCCTAACATTCTTTCTCTACTAGGGACGAGAGCCACACTAAGGTAATATTTATCCCTTCAAGGCTTCCAGTGCCTATCGTTGTAGTACTCATATCTAGGTGTACTATTCTAGAGTGCACCATCTGGGTGTCTCACAAGGAGATCTATTACTACATTTGTGTTATCCTTCAGAAGTATCAACTAATGCTAACAATCCATGCACAATTTTGGGTTACTCTAACCCCAACTTGATCCCGATATCACATCCTTCTCTTAAATTATATCTATCAGCTCCCATAGGGCATAACTAAGATGGGTGTGACCAATTGTACATACCTCTGTTATTATCGAAGGTAACTCAAAATGCTTATATCTCCCTTCCTGAGTGGTAAGTAATGATAATCTTCACTAGCTGAGTACCTCGTACCCTTCTTCATCTTGCCACTTTTACTTGTTGAAGCTTGTATCTAGCTTCTGAATCTCCCATTGCCTTTCACCATATGGGTGGATAGATATTCTTGCCTTAGGGCTCATTTTCTAGAAGCTCACACGTCTTAGTACACACATGATCTCCTGGAGACCTTACAATTACTCATCATAAGCACGATGCAAAATCGAGTTCCTCTGACTCAACTCTTCCACAGTCGCATTCAATCCCTTACCAACCGTCTTTCTAGATATAATCATCGTCATATTATGAATAAGATAGAGTTTAGGAAATTGAGTTCTTACAACTGAGTTCTACCACACGATCTAGAGTATGAAGAAAGAGTGACAGTCCTAAATGTCTTGTAGCCTCCTGCTTATAAGTGTGGTGTACAACACACCCATAAATAAGACTCTACTAGACACGGCTTGTAGACTCCCTAGGACAGGACTGCTCTAATACCACTTTTGTTACGACCCAAACCGATGGGCGCCGATGGGCACCCGATACATTACTCAACCGAGTACCGACGTAACGTATCTTTTGTATCATACTATCATCGATAACTGAGCCGAAGAGGCTGTCGTGAGATAAGTAGAATAAAATATGTAATACCAACTTATACATAAGACATACGGGCCTATAAGACCAAAATAATCACTTGTACACTGAACATAGGCCGACAAGGCCATAAAATCTTTTACGTACATGGCATATGTCTACAAGCCTCTAAGAATACGTAATTATCATAAATGTCGGGACAGAGCTCCGCCATACCAATCAATACATGTCTTAATCATACTGACCAAATAAACAACTCCGGAGCAAATGGAGCGCACCAACACCTTCCGTTGAGCTGATAGCCTTCTTGGAGGACTCTCGACCTGTCTATCGGGACATGCGGGCATGAAACGCAACATCCCCAGGAAAAAGGGACGTCAGTACAAATAATGTACCGAGTATGTAAGGAATGAAAATCAATAAACAATAGACGTGAGAGAAATATGGAGTAAAAGACTCAACATGTAAGTCTGAATAGCTCTGTAAATCATTTCATATTTATAATGTCATGCATATGAGTATAAATATCATACCATGTATAGGTATATGCTTTCATAACATCACCAAGCCTCTAAGGGCATCCCATCATATCATCTCAGTCACTATGGGCAAATCATCAACGTATACCAGGTGATAAGATGGTGGTACGTATATAACGCCGTAACCTTTTCCCATATCCCATATACATATAATGTACGCGTATATAACGCCATCTGGTCATGGGTCAATGTACATGTATAAATGTATGAAGTGCATAAGAAGTGTGTTAATAAGATTTCTCGGTATGTCATAAGATCAATATGCCTTTAGGATAAACTTTATCAAATACGTATTTTTCTGAGACCCATGAACAAAAGATATAATAATAATTCACATGGGGAATCAAGAATATAGAAACAAAACCTCTAGTATTTTTATGAATATAGACATAGATGAAACATGGAGTAAAGAATTCAACCTGTAAGTCTAAATAACTTTATGAATCCTGAAACATTTATAATGTTATGCACGTGCATGTAAATTTCGTATCATGCATAGGTATATGTGTACATAACATCATCAAGCTTCTGAGGGCATCCCATCATATTATCTCGATCACTATGGGCAAAATCATCAACATATACCAGTTGATCAGGTAGTGGTGTGTATATAACGCCGTAACCTTTTCCCATATCCCATATACATATAATATACACGTATATAACGCCTTCTGGTCATGGGTCAATGTACATATATAAATGCATAAGAAATACGTTAATAATATTTCTCGACTATGTCATAAGTTCACTATGCATTTGATTAATATCATGAAATAAACTTTATCAACTCGCATATTTTTCTGAGACCCATGAATAGATGATAGAATAATAAGACACATGGGGAATCAAAAATATAAACATTCCTAGTATTTCTATAAATAGAGTCATTTATGAAAGTTGCGTATTTGCTCGTTTTGTTTTTATCGTACGGATCATGCCAAAAGGAAAGGAGGGATAGCCTTAACATACCTTAACTTTGTTGAGTCCTTAGTACCTTCCAAGAAATTCTTCAAATAACTCAACCCAATCTACTACATCATAAAGAGATTCAAAATCAGTGCTGAGCAAAGGCTAAGTCCGCAACTTAAACTAGTAGCTCGTTTACGTAAATTTGGGCAGCATCTCCCCTATAACTAGGCCCTCCTCCAATATCATATACCAACAACAACAAAAACAAGAACACAATAATAACAACATGTAAGCATTATTTTCCAACCTTATCTCCATCACAATATATCACAAAACAGCCCACACACCCTAATCACTTCATACATAAAACGACAACCAAAGTAGTGCCAAACAACTTAAAAAAATATAACGACGAACGACCAGCCCACCATTCCATTATTATGTGGTGTTTCTACACACTATTTGTCCTCCAAAACTCCATTAAATAGTAGAAAAATATACAGCCCAAAGGCAACACGAAACATCCCACAAAACAATCCACTACAAGTCAAATAACTCGAACTCACGGCTTCCGATCACCGTCACGTGAGTTCTAACTATTAGAAAACAAATTTATCAACATTCCTTGATATTTAAACACTTAAATACAGAAAGTACACGTTTTCTTTACTATGAAGTACCTTCCAAAATTCAAACTACA